CCAACCACAGCGAAAGAAGCTGTAGTCAGTTCACTGGCCACTTTAGGGTCCACAGCCAGAACTGAGGTCTATATGTCTATTGCCTGACACATGGGTGGGTCATGACTTCTCCTGGGTCCTTTGACTTATGGTACTGGTGACAGACTCAAAGCCAAATGGGGCTGTAGCCAAGTTCTCAGGAGTATGGAGCTGTATCCATTTCTGTAGCTGTGACCACTGTTGGTGAGTCAGATGCCTGGTTGTGAGCCTGCCTTCTCAAAATGGCTCTCCTCAGTATTTTTTTGCTGAGGAAGATTCACTCTGAGCTAATATCTGTTGCCAATCTTCCTCTTTTTTTTGCTTTTATATGTCAGCCACCACCACAGCATGGCCACTGACAGATGAGTGGTGTAGATTGGTGCCCAGGAAGTGAACCTGGGCTGCCAAAATGGAGCATGCTGAACTTAACCACTAGGCCACCAGGGCTGGCCCCTCTCCTCAGTCTTGAACTGCACCAGAGTTTCACAGTCTCCTACTTGGATCCCAAAGCTCCCACACAGGCACTGCTGTCCACGGATGGATACCAAATTATTGTTGTTAAGGGAGGATATGAACAAGGATTGTATTATTTGGTCATGTTACTGATGTCACTCTCCTGCTGGGAGGTTTTTGATTACTGATTCAATCACCTTACTAGATATAGGTCTGTTCAGATTTTCTATTTTTTCCTAGTTCAGTTTGGATAGGTTGTATGTTTCTAGAAATTTATCCATTTCATCTAGGTTACTCAGTTTATTCTCATACATGGTATTCTTTTATAATCCTTTTTATTTCTGTAAAATCTATTGTACTGTCCCTCGTTAATTTTTGGTTTTAGTTATGTGTGTGTTCTCTCCTTTTTCTTAGTCAATCTAGGTAAAAACTTGTCAATTTTGTTGATCTTTTCAAAGAACCAACTCTTTTGTTTTTCCAATTTCTATTTTATTTATCTCTGCTTTAATCTTTATTATTTTTTTTCTTCTACTGGCTGTAGCTTTATTTTTTTCTTTCTTTTTTTCTAGTTCCTTAGGTATCAAGTTAGGTTGTTGATTTGAAAGCTTTCTTCTTTTTTAATGTAAGTGTTTACAGCTATAAATTTCCCTTTTAGTACTTCTTCCACTGCATTCTATAAATTTTGGTATGCTATGTTTTCATTTTTATTTTTCTCAAAATATTGTCTAATTTCCTTTGTGATTTCTTCTTTGACTCATTGTTTGTTTAAGAGTGTGTTGTTTAATTTCCACATATTTGTGGATTTTCCAGCTTTCCTTCTGCTATTGATTTCTAGTTTCATTCCATTGTGATTGGAAATGATACTTTGTATGATTTCAATCTTTTAAAGTTTATTAAGTCTTGTTTGGTGGCCTAACAAGCGATCTATCCTGTCAAATGCTCCATGTTCACTTAAGAAGAACGTGTATTCTGCTGTCGTTAGGTGGAGTGTTCTGTGTATGTCTGTTAGGTCCAATTGGTTTATAGTGTTGTCCAAAGTCTTCTATTTTCTTATTGATCTGCGGTCTGGTTAAAAATGAGGTATTGAAGTCTCCTAGTATCTATTTCTCTCTTCAGTTCTATCAATGTTTGCTTCATGTATTTGGAGGTCTCATGTTTGGTGCATATATATTTATAATTGTTATATCTTTTGGGAGAATGACTCTTTTATCATTATGTAATGTCCTTTGTCTCTTGTAAAATAGTTTTTGACTTAAAATGTATTTAATCTGATATTAGTTTATTCATATCCACTCTCTTTTGGTTACTATTTGCATGGATTATCTTTTTCCATCCTTTCACTTTCAGCCTTTGTATGTACTTGTATCTAAAGCTACTCTCTTGTAGATAGCATATAATTGGATCCATTCAACCAATCTATGTCTCTTGATTGGAGAGTTTAATCCATTTACATTTAAAGTAATTACTTATAGAGGAGCACTTACTCTTGCCATTTTAATTGTTTTCTGTAGGTCTTATACCTTTTTTGTCTCTTTTTCTCCCTTACTGCCTGTCTTTGTGTTTAGTTGATTTTTTTATAGTGACATGCTTTGATTCTCTTCACATTTTCTTTTGTGTATATTCTATAGATATTCTTCTTGTGGTTACTATGGGGATTATATAAAACATCTTATAGTTGTAGCAGTCTATTTTAAACTGATAACTTAACTTCAGTCGAATTCAAAAACTACCTCTTTACTGCTCCACCCTTATTTTATGTTATTGATGGCATAAATTACATCTTCATATATTGCATACCCATAAAATAGCTTTATAGTTATGTTTAATGTTTTTGTCTTTTAAATCCTATAAACTAATTAAAAGTGAAGTTATAAAACAAAATTATAATAATATAGGTTTTTTATTTATCCATATATTTACCTTTACTGGAGAAATTTATATTTCTGTATGGCTTCAAGTTACTGTCTAGTATACTTTTGTTTCAACTTGAAGGACTCCCTTTAACATTTCTTGTAGGGCAGCTCTAGTGGTAATGAACTCCCTCACTTTTTATCTGGGAAAATTATAATTTCTCCTCATTTTTGAAGGTAAGTTTTGCCAGATGTATTATTCTTGGTTGATAGTTTTCCCCTGGCACTTTAAATATATCATCCCTCTGCCTTCTGGCCTGTAAGGTTTCTGCTGATATATCCACCAGTTATCTTATAGAGGCCCCCTTGTACATAACCAGTCAATTTTCTCTGCTGCTTTCAAGATTCTCTCTTTTTCTTTGATTTTTGACAGTTTGATTGTAATGTATCTATTACTTGGAGTGTGTTGAGTTTCTTGTATTTGAATATCCATTTATTCTCTCAAATTTTGAAAGTTTCTGACCATTATTTATTCAAATAAGCTCTCTGTTCCTTTCTCTCTTCTCTGGGACTCCTATGTGTGTATATTGGTCCACTTGGTGATGTCCCATAAGTCCTTTAGGCTCTGTTCACTTTATTTCATTCTTTTTGCTCTTCCAACTTGATAATTTCAAATTAATTGTTTTCAGGTTGACAGATTCTTTCTTCTTTCTGATCAAGTCTTCTGTTGAACTTTTCTATGAATTTTACATTTATTTCAGTTATTGTATTTTTTAGCTCCAGAATTTCTGTTTGGTTCTTTTTTATAGTTTCTACCTCTTCATTGGTATTCTTATTTTGCTCAAGCATTGTTTTCCTGATTTCATTTAGTTGTCTGCCCATGTCTCTCGGTGTTCTCATTGGGCATATTTAAGACACGCTCTTAAACTCTTAATTTAAGAGTTGTCTTAAGTTCTTTGTCAAGTAAGTCAGAAGCCTGCATTTCTTTAGGGTTTATTTCTGAAGATTTATTTATTCTTTTGACTAGGCCATGTGTCTCTGTCTCTTTGTATGCCTTGTGATCTTTTGTTGAGATTTAAGAATTTGAAAAAACAGCCACCTCTTCCAGTCTTTATGGACTTGCTTTGTGCAGGGGAAGATCTTCAGCAATTAGCACATCTTAAAGTCCCAGGTTTTCCAAAACCTTTTCTGAGGATTTGTCTTCCCTGGACCAGTGCATATGTTATTCCAGTTCCCCATAATATGGCTGCTTTTAAATGTCTTAATTTCTCTAAGAGTCTCATCCCTGCTTCTTCTTAGAAGCCTTGGATTTCTATTGCATTCCTCCACCTGTAATCTCTTACCCCTAGGTGCCCAGGGATCTGCAGACCCCATGCAGTTCTAACATGCTATGTGCCTACCACTGCTTTCAGCAGCCTCTAACCTGGTATCCAAACTATTCTATGATTCCCATCAGTGCGCCAAGTCAGGCAAGTTAGAAACCACTCCCTCAAGTACCCAGGCAAACCAGAACACTGCAATCAAGTTCTAGTCTTTTTCTTCCATTCTGAGAAAGGAATCAGGAATTGGGTAGCCTCCTCCAAACCACACCACACTATTCTGGAGTGGAGGTTAGTAAGAGATGCGCAAAATGCTACAAAATTTTCTACCAATTTGAGTAATGCTTTTTCTTGATTAGGCATTCACTTGGTAGCTGCAGCTTCTTAACTGGTTTCTAGAGTTCTCAGAAATCTATTTTGGTATATTTTTGTTTACTTGGTGTGTCCGTGGAGTAACAAGGGCCTGGAGCTTCCTAGTCTGAGGAAGTCTTTTTCTAATTGGCAAATGCTGTCAAGGATGTGGAGCAATAGGTAGGCTCACACATTTCTGATGGGAATGCAAAATGGTACAGCTACTTTGGAAGACAGTTTAGCAGTTTCCTACAAAAGTAAACCTACTTTTACCATACAATCCAGCAATCATGCTCAAAAGTGTCAAAAACATCTCCACAAAAACCTGCACATGGATGTTTATAGCATCTTTATTAATAATTGCCAAAAGTTGGAAGCAACCTAGATGTCCTTCAGTAGATGATTGGATAAATAAACTGTGGTACATCCAGATAATGGAATATTATTAAACAATAAAAAGAAATGAGCTATCAAGACATGAATAAAGATGGAGCAACCTTAAATGAGTATTACTAAGTGAAAGAAGCCAATCTGAATAAGGCTACATACTGTATGATTCCAACTACGTGACATTCTTGAAAAGGCAAAGCTATGGAGACAGTAAAAAGATCAGTGGGTGGGGGGAGGAGCAGATGAATAGGTAGAGCATGGAGGATTTTTAAGACAGTGAAACTATTCCGTATGATACTATAATAATGGATACATGTCGTTATACATTTGTTAAAACCCAGAGAATGTCCAACACCGAGAGTGACCACTAATGTAAATTATGGACTTTGGGTGATAATGACATGTCAATGTAGGTTCATTCATTATAACAAATGTTCCACCCTGGTAATGGGATGTTGATGGTGGGGGAGGCTAGGCATGTGTAGGGTCAGGGGGTATATGAGAACTCTTTGTACACTCTACTTAATTTTGCTGTGAACCTAAAACTGCTCTGAAAAAAAACAAGGAACAGTTCCTTGAAAGTTCAGAGTGGATTGGTGACTCTCTCCTTTCCCTGCAGGTGGCTTCACAAACAGTACCAGCAGGCTCTGGTTCTAGAATTTGCTGTGGAGGAGATCAACAGGGACCCTGATCTTTTGCCCAACACTTCTCTGGGATTCCATATCTACAATGCCGATCACAGTGATGTTAGGACCTCAGAGAGCTCCCTGAGGTGGCTTTCTGGAGGGGATTCAACCATCCCCAATTACAGCTTCCAAAGGCAGGCCAAGTCAGCACTTAGTATTAGAGGGAACACATCACCCCTGTCTCTTCAGATGGAGGCACTATTTGTGCTCTATAAGTTGCCACAGGTGATGGCAGTTCAGAGCCTCCAACATGTGAAAGAAACAAATTGAATTGATACATTTCCCATTAAATAGCACAGTTAAGACATGACCACAAATCATAGGTCTCTCTCTTTGAGGAAGAGTTTGAGGAAGTTAGATGTAAAAGTAAAAATACAAGGAGGAAACCAAGATAACATTAAGTCAACCTGGCCCATTTTCACATGAACTGTAGCAAACACTAGTAATATCAGGGCATTCTGTCTGTCAGCACTTGAGTTCCATGAGGAAAGGTAAGGACCAGGGCTTGAGGGTGACCTGAATCCCCTCCTCTGTTGGCTAATTAATTTTGAATTTCACAATATTTATTATTTATTTATGAGAAAGACCAATGTGGGATGCTTTTACCTCATTACAATCAAATTCTTTTTATTTTAAATCCAAAATAGAGTGTGTTTCCTTCCATTCAGGTTACCTATGGCCCATTTTATTCCATTCTGAGTGACGAAGTTCAGTATCCATCCCTTTATCAGATGGCCCCCAAGGACTCTTCCTTGCCCTGGGGAATGGTGCAACTGATGCTGCATTTTGGATGGATCTGGGTAGGACTTGCTGCCTCCAATGATATGAGAAGTGAAAAGTTTCTGTCATATCTGAGAGCAGAAATGGTCAAGAATGGAATCTGTGTAGCTTTTTCAGAGAAGATCCCTGTCCATGAGAGACAACATGAGGAGGCCTTTGGTAATCCCATGATTAAGCTCATAGAATCATCAGCTACAGTGATTGTCATTCATGGAGATAGAGATTCCCTGATGATCATGAGATATTCATAGCCTGTTACCTTGATACCTACAAAGGTGTGGATCATCTCCCCTCATTGGGATATTATTGTGAGACCCACATTTCATCATGGTTATACCTTTCATGCGTCTCTGATATTCTCTCATCTTACCTGATGAGATATTCCCAGATTTGGGACATTCCTCAAGAGAGTCAATCCTTCTAAATATCCAGAAAACATTTTTCTTTAGAGTTTTTGGTACTGGGCTTTTGAGTGCTCAGAGGTGGCTACACCACTGGAGCAAGAGGAATGCTCACCAAATGCTTCTTTGGACATGCTTCCCCTGCAGTATTTTGAAGTGACCATGTCTGCATGTGGTTACATTCTGTAAAATGCTGTGTATGCTGTGGCCTGGGCTCTGCATGACATGTTCCTAGTCAGATCAGAAGTAGACTCAATAGGAGTTGAAGGCAACCAAGTGCCTCATCATTTGAAGGTAAGATTTCTTTAGAAATGGGGTCCCTAGGCATTAGACCTAGCTAAGAGCTGGGACCACCTGGGTTCTTTGTGATTTATTTTGAAAATGCCAGATTTCTCTTCTAAAAATTACCTGCTCAATCTTAGCCATGACTTTCTCACTTCTGCCCAGTGTCAACATCTCAGGAAAGATGTTGCTTTGCCTGATGATTAATAGAGCTTTCCTCCCCTCCCAGAGTACAAAATATCTATATGAGCAGCAAGATGTAATTTCAGTGTAAATTCAGCTTCAGCTAGTCATTTTGAAGCAATCATGAAAGTGGGACATGGCTATATTTTGCAGGGGTTCTATGGTTTTTGTCTCACACATTACTTAGAATGCAGTTCAATGAGGCCCTAGCAATATCCATATGAAGCTGTAGATAGCAAAAAATAGTCCTATCTTGTTGGAGAGAAAGTACCTGATATCTCATACATCAGGACAAGCCTTCCAAAGACTTCCTTCATAGAGAAGATGACACATTTGCCTTAGCTCTGAAGTAATTCTGATCCCATATAAAACATCTAGTTGAACATTTCTAATGCATCTCCGGCAACTGGATGTTTTTTGTGGGTCAATAGGATAGTTTACTTCATTGGTTTTAATGCCTAATTCATTTCATACATGTGAGCACCTGCTTCATGCCCCTGTCCTCTGGAGATGTGACGTGAGCATACCCAGTGATGTGCACACCACACACACTAGAGCTTCATTCTTTTAGGGTTGGGGTACATTGTGGTTTATTGGACACCTATAATTGCATTTCCCCAATGGTTACGTTGACTATGTTGGTACAGTGTGACTCCACTTGGTGTAGGGGAAGACAACTCACCAATCTGCATCAATAGAAGTCCCTCTAGTAGGAATTTCAAATTAGGATTGAAACTCCCATCAGTCAGGTCAATCTCTGTAATGGAGAAGATGTAAATACAGGAGCTATGTGCATCCATAATCCAACATGTAGTCTGAAAGACAGAAAGAGCCAAACTTGTAATAAGGAAATTTAAAGAATATTCAGAAAAAAAGTAGAGATAAGAGATTGGTAGAGAGAGTCTTGATGGCATTGTGATCCCTACCTTTGGATCTATGGGACACTCCATCAGATTTATAATAGGGTCTCCTTTTTGTTTAAGCTAGCTAATGTGAATTTCTGTTACCTCAGCCAAAAGAATCAAAAGAAGTACAGAGGAAAGAGCACTGGATTAGGAAACACCATAAATCACTCATTCCACAAATATTCAGTGATGACCTCTTTCTGTCCTCTAGTGTTCTAAGCCCTGAGCATAGAGCAGATAATTCTATCAGTGGAAGGGGTGAGGACATGGAGGAGATGAACTGGTTTTGTCTTAGATATGCTACTAAAAATGTTTGATATTGGATGAGTCACTAAATATCTCTGAATCTCCATTTCCTCAAATTATGGTCTTGGCCTAGATGACCTCTAGGGCTACTTCCTTCTTTACAGTCTCATAACTCCATGGTTAAACTAGTTTAAAATTCGAGTTTGTCTCAAAATAACATTCTCTACTCCTGAGGTTGTCCCAATCCTGGAATCAGTGAATGAGGCCTACAAGATTCCAATACTAAGTCACCTAAGGAACCTTCCTGGTGCAGAGACTTCTGAGTTTCTAAAACTGCTCCAAACCTCAGCTCACAGGGACCCACAAATCTAAGCCTCTTAGAAATCATACTGCTCTGATCCCCCTTGACTGAGCAAAGCCATAATCAAGACTTCTCTTTCCAGTCAGCTCCATGCCTTTCTGAAGAACGTAAATTTCAAGAATAGCGTGGGTGACCATGTGTTTATAGATGAGGAAAAAAAACCTGAGGCAAAATATGATATTTTGAACTATGTTACTTTCATCAATAATACTGAAGTTATGATAAAAGTGGGACAGTTTATCCCCAGAGCACCAATGGATCAAGAGTTCACCATCCATGAAGAGGTGATAGAGTGGACATGGATTTATGGCCAAAAGGTTAGAATCTACATAAATATAAATCCTCAAAAGAAGAGAAAGTGGAATAAATCTAATGATAATTTTCTGTCTCTTTAGCTCAATCTGTATACCACTTGTATGAATAAAACAATGTTTGCTGTCTTTAAAAAGAAACTATTAATATACAAAGCAAAGAATATTTGTGCAAGTATAAGTTTCAAAATATTGGAATATTTGAAACTTACTATAATAAAATGTCAAACCAAATTGAACAGTCACAAAGATTGGGTCTGTGTGTGAGCCAATAAATTATTAATGTCCTTTTATAATTCACTAAAAATTTTACAGTAGTCTTATTGGCCATTGAATCACTATTTATTTAGATGTAATTTACAATCACTTCCTGACACAATATTCTGCCCTGTAGGCTCTTCCATCACATCTGTACAATTTGAACACACACAGGTACCTTGCGTTAAGTTCTCCAATTACCATCAACACTGACTGACATTAGTTGGTTTCCAATTTCCCTGTTCTTCTGAACATATATCAGGAATAAATTTCATACGTGTGTTATTTAAATCCCTCATGAACTTTCTTTTCCTGTTACTGCTCAGACTGCCGTCTCTGAGTGTTCTCCAAGCTGTGGCCCTGGATTTAGGAAAACTGTTTGGGACATGGAGCCCATCTGCTGCTTTGACTGTGTCCTGTGCCCATTGGGGGAGATTTCCAACAAGACAGCTAAGGGTTTGGAAAGAAACCGTTCTCTTTTCTTTTCTTTTTCTTTTTTTTTTTGTGAGGAAGATCAGCCCTGAGCTAACATCTGTGCTAATCCTCCTCTTTTTGCTGAGGAAGACTGACTCTGAGCTAACATTTATTGCCAATCCTCCTCCTTTTTTTTTCCCCAAAGCCCCAGTAGATAGTTGTATGTCATAGTTGCACATCCTTCTAGTTGCTGTATGTGGGACGCGGCCTCAGCATGGCCAGAGAAGCAGTGTGTCGGTGCGCGCCCAGGATCCCAACCCGGGCCTCCAGTAGCGGAGCGCGCGCACTTAACCGCTAAGCCACGGGGCCGGCCCCGTTCTCTTTTCTTACACTGCAACAGAAACAGAATAGTCTGAAAGTTGTCTATACCTTGTGGGTCCAGGTCTTTCTGAGGAGATCCTGACTTACAGAACTCAGGCAAAACCAATAGAATAGACCAGAGAGTATGTCAGGCAGAGAGCACAGACAGGCTGGTGTCAACATAGCTTGGGAAATATGAACTGTGTGAGATGAAGAGATGTCCCTTTCCTCATCTCACAAGATGTGCAGGTTAAGGAACTTCCTCTAAAAGTTCTTTAGAAAAACCCAAACTTAAGGAAATGACACCATCTTAAAAAGTCTAAACATGGTGAAAGATTGAATGCTTTCTCTCTGAGATCAGGAACAAGGAAAGATGACTACTCTCACCACTCTTATTCAACATATTATCCGAAGATCTGGCAACTGCAATGAGTAATAAAAAGAAATAAAAGGCATATGTATTAGAAAGGAAAAAATGAAACTGTCCCTATTTTCAGATGACACATGATTGTCTACATAAACAATCCCAAGGAATCAACAAAAACCTAGAACTAATGAGTTCAGGATACAAGGTTTTCAGGATACAAGATGAACACACAAAAGTTGATCAAATCTCTGTACATTAACAATAAACATGAGAAAACCAAAATTAAAAATATAATACCATTTATAATCACTCCAAAAAAAATTAATTAGGTAAAATTTTAAAAATACGTAGGATCCATATGCTCAAAATTGCAATATTCTGATGAAAGAAATACAAGAAGGCACAAAAAATGGAGAGGCATACTGCGTTGATGGATTAGAAGACTCAACATAGTAAAGGTGTCAATACTCCCCAAATTTGTATGTGGGCTGAAGGAGATTCCTATCAAAATCCCAGTAGGGTTTTATTTTTAGATGTAGACAAGCTTATTCTAACTTAGACATGGAAAGATGTGGGCCCTACAATAGAAAAAACAATCTTGGAAAAGAAGAATAAGGTGGAAATAAAGTAGGAGAAATCACTGTATCCAACATTAAAGCCCATTATATAGCTACAGTAACCAGAATAGTTTGGTATTGGCAGAGGGATAGACATATAGACCAATGGAACAGAATAAAGGACACAGAAATACACCCAAATACATATGCCCCACTGGTGCAAAGGTGCCAAGTAATTCAATGGAAGAAGGATAGGCTTTTCAAGAAATGGCGCTGGAGCAATTAGACATCCATAGGCCAAAACCCAAAATGAACTTGAACCTAAATCTCACACTTTATGCAAAACTTAAAGCAAAATGGACCACAGACTTAGATGTAAAATGCACAATTATGAAGCTTTTACCAAAAAAAGAGATAAAATATTTAGAATATAGAGCTACATAAAGAGTACTTGAACTTAACACCAAAAGCACCATACATAGAAGGAAACATTGATAAATTGGATCTCATTAAATTAAAAAACTTTTGCTCTACAAAAGCATAGATGAAGAGGATGAAAGTACTCACTACAGAATGGGAAAAAATATTTTCATACCACATATCAGACAAAAGACTACTATCGAGAATATATAAAGAACTTATAAAAGTCAACAGTGAAAAAACCAAACAACCCAATTAGAAAATGGGCAAAGACATGGACAGACCAAAGATGGTATACAGACAGCAAATAAGCACAGGAAAATATGTTCAAAATCAGTAGCTATTAGGGAAATGCAAATTAAGGTCACAAGGAGATATCACTACACACCTATAATAATGACTAAAATAAAAATAATGACAACATTAAATACTGGTGAGGATGTGGAGAAACTTAAGCATTCATAGATTGACCATAGCAATGTAAAATGGTATGGTCACTCTTGAAAACAATTTGGAAGCTTTGTAAAACACTAACCACGCAATAAGCATATCACCTAGCAATTACACTCCTGTGCATTTATCCCAAGACATGAAGACTTATGTTCCCATAAAATCATGTTTAAAGTAGTTTTAGTTTTAATAGTCCCAAACTGGAACCAACCCAGATGTCCTTCAAAGAGTGAATAAACAAAATGTGGTATATCCATATCATGCAATGATACTCAGCAATAAAAAGGAATGAATTATGATACATGCAACAACCTAGATGAATCTTCAGGGAATTATAGTGACTGAAAAATGTCAAAGCCAAAAGCTTGAGTACTGTATGGTTCTGTTTCTGTAATACTCTTGCAATGACAAACACAGAAATACAGAACAGATTAGTGGTAGTCCGAGGTTAAGAAGAAGTGGGAGCAGGAGGGAAGTGGGTATGAACATAAAAGGGCAATATAAAGAATCCTTGTAGTGATGGACACGTTCTGTATCTTGATTATAAATGTCAATATCTGGTTGTGATCTTGTGCTGTAGTTTTGCAAGATGTTAGTTACCATTGGAGGAAACTGGTTAAAAGGTACACAGGATCTCTCCATTATTATTTCATACAACTGCTTGTGAATATACAAATATCTCGAAAGTGTAGTTAAAAATAAAACAAATGAGGATATGTGTGTGAAAGAGAGTAGAAGCTGAGAAGAATCTACACAAATATTAGATGTTAGAACTGGGACGTTCTGCTGGAATTAGAGCACTATTTCTGAATCCCTTCCTGCTGTGCCCCTCCTGTTCCTTTCAGGCATTGGCCAGCGTGCGAAGTGCCCAGAGGACCAGTACCCAAACAAGGAGAGAGATCGCTGCCTCCCCAAGGCCACCACCTTCCTGGCCATAGAAGAATTCTTGGGAATGACCTTGGCCTATGCAGCTCTTTCCTTCTCTCTCCTCACAGTTCTAGTTCTGGGGGTCTTTGTGAGGCATCAGGACACTCCCATCGCCAAAGCCAACAATCGGTCCCTCAGCTGTATTCTCCTCATCTCCCTGACCCTCTGCTTCCTCTGCTCCTTGCTCTTCTTTGGTCATCCTACCAGAGTGACCTGCCTCCTCTGACAAACAACATTTGGGATTGTATTCACAATAGCTCTTTCCACCACTTTGTCAAAGACCATCACTGTGGTTCTGGCCTTTAAGGCCACAAGACCAGAGAGCAGGATCAGGCACTGCACAGGGCCCAGAGCTTCTAACTCTTTCATTCTCATCAGCTCCCTGGTCTAAATGACGCTCTGTGAGGTGTGGTTGGTGAGCTCTCTCTCCTTTCCAGACACAGACCCACACTCTGAGCCTGCACTTATCATCATAGGGTGTAATGAGGGCTCAGCCATGGCCTTCTACTGGGTCCTAGGACACATGGGCGTCCTGGCCTTGGTCAGCTTCTCTATTGCTTTTGCAGCCAGGAACCTCCCCGACACCTTCAATGAGCCCAAGTTCCTCACATTCAGCATGCTGGTCTTCTGTAGCATCTGGGTGTCCTTCCTGCCCACCTACCAGAGCACCACAGGGAAGGCCGTGGTGGCCGTGGAGATCTTCTCCATACTGGCCTCCAGCCTGGGGTTACTGGGATGCATATTGCCCCAAAGTGCAATGTGATACTGCTGAGACCAGACAGGAACACCCAGTTATGGATAAAGAGGAAGGGAGATTTGGGAAACGAAGCTAATTCTAAAACTTTGCCTTAAAGTTTTCATAAAATATGAACTTCCTGTTGGAAAAAACCAACTATGATGCATATCTCATTTGTTCTTAAGTTTTAATTATATTTTCTCAGCAGGACAATCTCTCTAGCATAACTCTTGAGGGCACCACCATTCTGAAGTTTTAGCCTTGGTTTTCATCAACTATCAAGCCTCACTGGATCTTACCACTTCTGTTGTCTTTTTATTTGTGGGAACTACTTTTTCCTTGATCTTACTTTGACCAAAACTGTAGTTGACAAGAGTCCTCAAAATTAATTCTATTCCTGTATTCTATGAACAGAAATTGAAATAGAAAAAACAATGCTATTTACATTAGCATCAAAAATATAAATGCTTTGGGAAAATGTCTGTTCATATCCTCTGCCCACTTTTTATTTGGATTGTTCATTTTTTTATTGTTGAGTTGTATGAGTTCTTCATTTATTTTGGATATTAAACCCTTATCAGATATATGACTTGCAAATATTTTCTCCCTGTTGCTAAGTTATCTTTTTGTTTTGTTGATGGTTTCCTTTGCCATGCAGAAGCTTTTTAGTTTGATGTAGTCTCTTTTGTTTATATAATGATGTACACCTGAAATTTATATAATGTTATAAACCAATGTGACATCAATAAAATAAAAAATATAAAATGCTTAGAAATGAATATAACAAAAGATATGAAATGTCTATTCACTGAAAATTCAAAATATCACTGAGAAATTAAAGGATACCTAAATAAATGTAGAGATACACTTGTTCATGGGCCAGAAGACTCAATATTGTTAAGATATCAATTCTCGGGCCAGCCCTGTCGCTTAGCGGTTAAGCACGTGCGCTCCGCTACTGGTGGCCTGGGTTCGGATCCTGGGTGCGCACCAACACACCGCTTCTCCGGCCATGCTGAGGCCGCGTCCCACATACAGCAACTAGAAGGATGTGCAACTATGACATACAACTATCTACTGGGGCTTTGGGGAAAAAAAAGGAGGAGGATTGGCAATAGATGTTAGTTCAGAGCCGGTCTTCCTTAGCAAAAAGAGGAGGATTAGCATGGATGTTAGCTCAGGGCTGATCTTCCTCACAAAAAAAAAAAAAAAAGATATCAATTCTCCCCCAACTGATGATTAAACAAAATCCCAATCAAAATTCCAGCTGGTTTTTTTGTAGAATTTGACAAATAGATTATAAAATTCACATAGACATGCAAAAGACTGAAAATAGCCAAAAAACTTGAAAAAAGAAGATCACAGTTGGAGGATATCACTATATAATTTCAAGACTCATCATAAAGCTACAGTAAACAAAAGAGAATGGTAGGAGCATAACTATGGGATCAATGGAACAGAATAGAAAGTTTGGAAATGGACCCATACATATAAGGACAACTTATTTTTGACAATAGCACAAAGTCAGGACAGTGGAGAAAAGAATAGCCTTTTCAACAAATAGCACTGGAACAACTGGATATCCACATGCAAAAATATGATTGTTGACCCATATCTCATTCCATATGTAAAAATTAACTCAAAATGGATCATAGCCCTAAATGTAAAGTATAAAACTGTAGAAGAAAACATAGGTGAAAAATCTTTGAGAACTTGCATTAGGAAAAGACTTCTTAAATTAGATATCAAAAGCACAGTTCATGTAAGAATGAATCGCAAAGTTGGAATTTACCGATTGAAATTCTGCTCATCAAAAGATGTTATTAAGGGAATAAAAAGTCAAGTCACAGAAGAAAAAAATATCTTGCCAGATCACCTATCCAATAAAAGACATATCAAGAAAGTAAAAAGAATGCTTCAAAATTCATTCATTAGCAAGAAAACAAACAACTCAGCTTAAAAAAAAAAGTAAACAAAAGGTTTTAACACACATATCATCATAGAGGATATAAGGATGATAAATAAGCACAAATAACATCATTAGTCGTTAGGGAAATGCAAGTTAAACTATGAAGCGATAGTCTTTAGCAAGATGGCAGGATAGGTAGTCCCCAACTTCAGTCTCCTCACATAAAGACCATCTAGCAACTATTAAACAAGATGCCTCTGTGAAAATTCCAGAACCTGGGGTAAAGCTGAAGCACCCCTTTAGACACCGCCCCCCCCAAAAAAAGAAAAAATGCATTAGAAGGGTAAGAGGAGCAGTTTCACTTTGACCACGTTGTTCCTCCATAAGGCTGGCACAGCATGGCACTGTGAAGGTCACCTTGGGCCTAGTTTCTCCAGTGGGAAAAAGAGAGCACATACCATCTTCCTACTGGTGGCAGCATCCAAGCAGAGATTTCAGGCAGTGGCTCTGGCCATCTGCAGAGCTGAGCTGGTGGCCCTGTCTAGCCAGTGAGCTCTATTGGAATTTCTACCTATTTTGTGTCCCCACTCAGTGGGCCATCCTTGCTGCAGAATTCATTCTACTGCCCTGCTCAGACATGGAAGCAGGTCAGCAGCCCCACCCAACTGTTGAGCAAAGCCTCGCACCCCACCAAACCAGGAAGTCCTTCCAGAGACCCCAGGAAGTTGTGGCACTCATTCTACAGCTTGCCCAGGCAGGAAAGCAAATCAACAGCCCTGCCCAACTGCTGAACTTGGCCTGCAGCCCTGCCTGACCAGGAAGCAGTGACCCTGGGTAGCTGTGGAGCCCATTTTATGGCCTTCCCAGGCAGGGAAGCAAGTCAGCAGCCCTGCTTAACTGCTGAGCATATCCTCCAGGCCTGCTCAATTAGGGAGCCTGAACAGTGACCCCAGGCAGCCTTGGAGCACAGCCTATAGCACCACCCAGCCACAGAGCCTAGCCTATAGCCTTGCCCAGCAGCAGAGTCTAGCCTAGAGCCCTGCATGATTACTGAGCATAGTCTGTAGCCTCACACAGGCAGGGAGCCCAACCAGTGACCTTGCCCAACAATGGAGCACAACCAGCAGCTTGCCAAATCATGAAGCCCAGCCTGTGGCCCCACTTGAACGTGAACTCCAGCCAGTGGCATTATCCAGCCATGGAGCAAAGTTTGGGGACCCACCTGACTAGGGGCAATTGAGGAGCCCAATTTGTGCTCCATCCAATTGCAGAGTCCAACAAGCAGAAACACCATGCCATGGAACACAACCTGCAAACCTACCTGACCAAAGGTGATTTTGGAGTCAAGCTAGTAGCGCTGCCTGATTAGAGAGCCCAGCCAGCAGCCCTTCCTGACTAGGGACCCCAGCCAGTGGCCTTGTCTGAATGTGGAGCTTAGCCAGCAGGCCCACCCAAATGTGAAGCCCAACCAGAGGCTCCCCTGCCTCATCTCAGAGCACAGGTAGTGCCCCCACCCAACTAGAGACCCTGAGAGCAAGCTCTACTTACCTGTGGTTGCTACCAGCTGACCCATCCACAACCCCAAGCTAAGTTGACTGGTGAAGGTCTTTCCCTGCCAAAGCAAACCTGTAAAGGCTGGAAGAAGAGACTGCTTCCTCAAATGCAATAGATACCAATGCAAGGATACAAGGATCATGAAAAACCACCAAAGGAAACTAATAAAGCTCCAATAATTGACACTACAAAAATGGAGATCTATGAACTGTCTGACAAAGAATTCACAATAATCTTTTTAAATAAGTTCAGTGAACTATAAGAAAACAAACAACAAAATGAAATTAGGAAAATAATACATGTACAAAATGAGAAGTTTAACAAAAAAATAGAACCATTAAAAAAATCAAACAAATTCTAAAGCTGAAGAATACAATGACTGAACTAAAGAATTCAATAGAAAGCTTCAATAGAAGATTTGACAAAGCAGAAAAAATAATCAGTAAACTTGAAGACAAATCATTTGTCAGAGGAACAAAAAGAAAAAAGAGTCAAAAAGAGTGAAGAAAGCCTATGGGACTTATGGGACACCGTCAAGGTAATATATGCATTATGGGAAACTGAGAAGAGAGAGAATGAGGCAGAAATTCTATAGAAATAATGGCTTAAAATTTCCCAGACATGGGGAGAGAAATGAATATCCAGATTCACGAGGCCCAAAAGTCCCTAAATTGGTTGAATCCAAAAAGGGCTACACTGAGACACATTATAATTAAATTGTCAAAAGTCAGACAAAGAATTTTGAACACAGCCAGAGAAAAGTAACTCATCATATACAAGGGAGCCACCATAAAACTATCAGTGAGTTTCTCAGCAGAAACCTTGCAGACTACGAGAGAGAGGGATGATATGTTCAAAATATTGAAAGAAAAAACTGTCAACTAACAATGCTATACCCAGAAAAGCTGTCCTTCAGAAATGAAGGAGACATCAAGACTTTCCAAAACAAACAAAATCTGAGGGAGTTCATCACCACTAGACCTGGCTTACAAGAAAGGCTAAAGGGAGTTCTTCATGCTGAAATAAAAGGATGCTAACTAACAATGTAAAAACAATTGAATGTGTAAAACTCACCAGTAAAGGTAAATATATAGTCAAAGTCAGATTCTCTAACATTTTAATGATGATGCATAAATCACTTTCAACTCTAATTTAAAAGTTAAAAAGCAAATGTAATAAAAATAACTAAAACTATAATGTTATTTGATACACAATATAAATAGGTGTAAATTATAACCTAATAACCTAAAATGTGAGGGCGAGAGTAAAAGTGTGGAGTTGATGTATGCTATCAAAGTTAAGTTGTTATCCAGCTTAAAAAGGATATTATAACTATAAAATATTTTATGTAAGCCTCAAGGGAACCATGAAGGAAAAACCTGTAGTAGTTTCAAAAAAGATAAAGATAAAGGACTCAAAGAATACCACCACAAAAAATCATCAGTCACTAAGGAAGATAACAAGAGAGGAAGAAAGGAACAAAGGAATTATAAAACAGTCAGAAAACAAATAACTAAATTGTTAAATTAATTTTAATTGTTAAATTAACAAAATTGTTAACTAATTTTGACCTAACCTAATATAAGACCTTACTTATCAATAATTACTTTAAACATAAGTGGACAAAATTCTCCAATCAAATGACACAGAATG